AAAAAAGTTTTGATACGAGCCTTCCCTTAAAAAGGTCTCGATACGACTCCCATTCCTGTCCGCTGCTAATCTGGTATTTAGCAGCCGCGGATCCAGATTAGCAGCGGACAAACAAACACCGAAAAATGGAAGATCTGCGAAAATAAACGACAAAAAAGACGCGAGGGTAATCAAGGATAAATGTGAGGAACACGAAGAAAATGAGCCATAATAAACCATAGGTAAAAAAATCACAAACTATAAATGAATCACAATAAGACACAAAAAAGAATGAAAATACGAGAAAATGCGAGTGACACCACTTGAATGTTAGTTGTTCGCGGCCATCCAAAGCTGCAGTTAGCACCCATAACTTTTTTGAGAGTGGAGCTTCTGAAGTGGAGAAAGTGGGGCTGTAGAGCACTAGGTTGGCACTTATTCGCCGAGTTTCAGCGATTCTGAAAAATCTCCCTTTCAAGGAACTTTCCCCGTTGTGGTCGCGTCGTTACAATTTGAGGTCACCTACGAGCTCTTACGCTTTGAAAGCTACAACCCTCTTCATACAAGGCCACGGCGCCGGAATTGTGAAGATTTCTACTTCCTCACACGGCTTTCATTTTATTCCTAGGCCTGCTATTCAAAAAAAAATCAGCCGTTGTGGTGTTCTTATTACATCTTCTGGACTACATGAAAAACGCTGCCCCACCGACGCCTTCCAGTTCGTTTGAAGGCTTTGCCATACTTCTAGAACACATATTTTCGCCAACAGCATCAGGAAATAGTTCATTCGGTGGATGGGCAGCACTCAGCTCTATCTTACACACACACACACACACACACAGCACACACACACACACACACACAGCAACACAACACAATTGCAGGGTACACCGCACTGGGCACATGTGAGGCAGCACCACACACACACAACAGCGCACACACACACACCACACCACACACACACACACAGGGCTGGCGTGGCACACAGGTTCACATACACACACACGACACACACAGGGGCTGCACACACACACACACGCACACACACATCACACAGCGCGCATCACACACAGCTATCACATTCTCACACACACTACACATCACACACACATCTACACACACACAGCTACAGGCACACACATCACACGATTCAGCATTCCTCACTTGACACACACACACAGCAGCAGCAGAGATGTTGTGCACACACAGGCACATCAGTGTCACAGCACACCACACATGGCACAACACACATGCTGTGCCACACATCACACACATAAACCCACACATGGACACACATCACTCACCACAACACACACATGCCAGTGCACACTCACACAGTGGGGGGGGTGCCACAACACTGACCACACACACACACACACACAGACTACACCACACCATTGGGGCACACACACACACACACACACACACACACACACACACACACACACACACACACACACACACACACACACACACACACACACACACACACACACACACACACACACACACACACACACAATAGCTTCGTATAGCATACATTACACACACACAACACTCCACACACACATACAAAACACACACACAAAACACGAACGACCTGATTAATAGACAAAACTCGAAAACACGATTGATCGCCTCCTCTCATCACAGTCGTCGGATTTGTGGAAGGGCAGGAATGGAAAGTTACCCAGTGGATGGGTATAAGTTCTATATGCTAGATGTGATTGCCTTATAAACTGAAGGTCTGGTTCAATAAAAGAAATTTTAGTCTGAAATTCCGCTTAAAGTGTCGCAGGACGTTCCCGTCAACCCAACAGTTTGAAAAAAGTATTGGGTCGTCTATAGTCTCCACGGTTTTCGCCACAAGCCGGTTCTGATAATTCATATCGAGCAGCACCCACCTGACTATCTCGAACAAACATATGCTTAAAAAGTAACATCCCAGCCCACGCTTTCGCCAAGGTAGTTCTCTAATTCGCTGCTCGTGTAAAAAGTTATATTAATTCAGGAATGAGTAAAATATCTAAGAATTTGGTATGTGATGCTTTTTTACAGCTCCGTTCCGGAAAATTCGATGTTGGAGATGCACCCCCCTCTGACTGGCAAATGTTTGGGAGGGGAGGGGGGTGAAAGGGAACTGTCTATTAGGAGCCGTTGGAACCAGGCGAAAGTATCAGTTCGATCATGTACTGCTCACATATGGACCGTTTGAACGAAACAATCTCTGATGACTCGGAACAAATTATCGCCGTACAGCCCGGACCATGCACCGTCTGACTATCATCTATTTCGATCTCTGCAAAACTTCCTTGAGTGTAAGAAACTAGGCGACCGCAGCACTACCGAAAATCACTAGCCAAGTTTTTTCGCAGGTAAACCACAGGAGTCCTAAATAAATGGCATTATGAAATTACCAGATAAATGGCGAATGGCCAAAGATAATAACGGTCAAAACTTTCTTCACTGAAATTGGTTTTCATTGAAAAAATTTGTTGAAATATGTACGATAAACCGCGGACCCTTTCTATACAATCTAATGTTACCTTCATGACTAGCCCATCAAGTTCATCTAGTTGATGAGATAACTTGTTTGCGGTTTCAGTTGCATTCAGGAGCAGAGGATTATTTGCTGTTGCAGGATCTTTTTTGCCATCAGTGATAATCTGTAATGAGCATCAAATACCACTGAACTATTACTAGCCCAGAACTCTTGCTGCAACTCTGTCCACTTGTGTGATTCGGTGCCCTCACCACGAATGTAACATTTTTTCTGGGCGCCGGCGCGACTTGGTGCCAATTTGGCGCCACCACCATTTCCACCAACTCTGAGTGAACTTGTGCCTGCGCCATTCAGTGCTTTGCTGAGGGTGGGCTTGGAAGGAGGAGTGCTTTCCTTCACGCTAGGCTCAGCCTCAGTAAAGCGGAGATGAATACAGTGCCTTACAGTAGCACTGCCAGGAATGAACGCCATGTTCGTGATCAGGATGTCGAATAACCCCTGTATACAAGTTTCAAGCGATTTTGGTGGAAAAGTTGGTGGCGTTAAACTGATGCTTTTTGGCACCCTATGGTGCTGGCGTTAAAAAAACAAATGCCGTGTCGTGATCAGAGCATAGAATAACCCCTATACGCTGTTTCAGCAAGAGAAAAAACTTTTGAGAGGTTGCAGAGAGAGGTAGTAGTGGTTCAGTGGCGCCGGACACTGGTACAATATACAGTCAACTAAAGCAGTTTGTAGAAGTTTTTAAGAAGTACAGCTCGAAGACTGTCAATGTAATTCCTTCCATCCGCTTCCACTAGTCCATCCTTATGAGCGAGAGACTGAGCATGTTGAAGAGCAGACGCTACCTGGAAAGTCATCATCAAGCGATGTTCCGCATATGCATAATAAACGACAACTACCATTTCTATGATTATGATGGCAGAGCAAATGGAGGAGAGACACCCGAAATGGGCGGGGCGTACTTGAGATGGGCGGTGCTTCCCACAAAGGTCGGTAACTCGGTTCCCGAAAATGTTTAGAGATCGCAGAAAAGTCCATGACGAAGATGAACATCTGGCAAGAGTCCACCATGTTTGGGCGTGCTGAGGCCCGCCCACAGTGGGCGGGGCGTGCATTTGAACACGAGGTACCAGTTTAAAAAAATCGTAGTTTGGTTCTAGAAGCACTACAGACGGCGCAAAAAAGTGGATTATGGTCCCCAAGTGATCACATGTTGAGAATGTGCGAGGCACTCCCGTTGTGGGCGGAGCGTGCGCCGAGGTGGGCGGAGCCAAATTTTTGAAAAATTCGTAAAACGGTTCCAGAGCACTCCAGACACCGGGAAAAGTAGTTTGAGATCAGCGAGGGGTCATCGGTTCACAAGTGTGAGGCACACCCGCAGTCGCCGGAGCGTGCCGTGAGGAGCCGGGGCTAAATGAAAAATTCCCAAAACGGTTCCTGAACACTCCAAACACGGGGAAAAAGTACTGTAGCCCATAAGTAATGATGTTTTTTTTTCTTACGCTTTCTTTCTTCTTTTCATTTGGAAAGTGGAGATCGTTTTCAGTGTGTTCTATGCTATTCGATAATTTTCGGCTCTATAAAACAGTGTAGTTGCCTTCCAACTATTTCTTGACTTCTAATGGTGTTGATTTTATTGAAATGGAATGGCGGGTTGACACAAAAGTGAGTTTTCGACAACAACTTTTTGCACTTTATCTCGGCTCTCAAATTACAGAAGAAGCTCAAAAATTGTGGTACATATGATCAAGGCAAGACGCCTATTATGACAGCTTACGGTTCCTTCGAGATAAGAGATAATCAGAGCTTGTAAATGTGAATTACATGGGGCGTCCCCTTGAGGAGCGACTGCCTGCAGAACCTACCGCCTAACTTTTGAACGTCTAACATCAACTAAGGGTGATGCTTGATAATGATAAGGAACATTCCATGACCTCTAACGATTCCTCATTCCTTGGCCCAAAAAAAGAAGGGAAGGGAAAAAAAGAAGGCCCACAAAAGAGCAGCTCGTCTTTGCTACGCGCTTCAAGGAGTGCCAGAAAGGGCGAAATTAGGGGGAAAGCACACGTTTGCCACGTGAATAGCACGTTTGCCTAGTTACAAACAGTTCCAATCAATCTCCTAAGTGACATTGTACATCACAATCATCACTGGGAATATAACAATGTGGCAGATCAAACCCACTTTTTTCCAGTCGGCATTCTGAGGTTCGTTCACCGTTGCCTTGAAAAGCGCCGCGTGATCGTTCAATGCTATTATCGTTTTGATTTTAGCATCGGTGGCATCGCGAACCCTTGTTTCAGCAGAAGAAATTGCCGAAAGCAAAGACGTCTCCAGCTCTACAAAAATCGATAAAGGGAACTCGCTGAAAAAGAATTTCGAGACAGGTCAGAGAACTGACCTTCAATTCGCTTAGCCGCATTCTCCGGATCTAACTTGGTGCCCTCAGTTCTCAACGGCACGTTCACATCAACGGGATCCACGTGTACAGGAGGCGTCCGCTCTGGTTCAGGCAAATTTCTCGTCAAAGATGAAAGAGTCTTGAAAAGAGGAAGGTGGAGAGCAGATGTGCAATGTCCGACCAACTGCTCACCTCTTCAGTTTTCTCCCCAGATGCAGCAGTAAATGTTCGGTCTTGCGAAACGGAAAACTGCTGCTTCGACTTTCTAGAGAAGGTGACTGTTCTGCACTACTCGAAATTCAGAACAACTATTGAACCAAACCACTCACAGTCTTGATGAGCCAAGTATAGCATCCAGTATTTGCTTGGCCTTAGGGACGGCTGTCTCAACCTGCAATCACTCGAATGAAAGCGCAGCAACTCGATCCCAAAACCTTTGTTACCTGATGCCTGGCTTCTGGATTCACATAAGCATATCCGATCACCCCCACTGCAGCAGTCGCCAATACTCCGGCAATGTACACGACCTTGCGACCTACCCTCCTAAACTCCATTTGATTTAATCAAAACATAAGAATACAAATAAAAGCCAATCATTCTAGAAATGGGGATGAAGGAAAATACGCATTACTCATGTGAGCGGTTGCCTGACATGTTACCGATCCACAGAGATGTGGAAATACTAAGAAGATGCCAATGAGTCAACTTTATCTGGGTGTCTACAAAAAAATTCCGTTCCACAACTCCGGATCATTTAATCAGCACTTTTTGTTTTGTACGTACTTGCGTTCTTATTCGCCAGTGAAGCTTATACAACTTTCATAAAGGCCTTATAGATAAAGGATAAAGTCTTCGCCGTTGATCAATCCCTTTGTGGGATGCGGCACGCATTCTACTTCCATTCAGAATCGTAGTGGCTTATTGAATGTGGCCTATACAATGACTTGCGGGGGCCAGCCGATGTACAAGTCAGTGTTGTTATCCTCCTAAACGAATCTGGTACCAATTTACCGTCCGCGGAGGTCAGAACAAGCCAATGTGTGGGGAACGGAATTTTTCGAAAAACTACAGTATTTGGCTATGTTGCAGGACCTGCGACCGCACTTCTGGCACATTATAGACAATCTCAAAATGGCCTAAATTCGGGTGCGGCCTCTTCTGGATTTGGAGACGTTAATAGACGTTCATTAGAAAGATTATCAAGATAACTTCGATAAAATGTTTTTGCCTTTTGTAGGTTTTAATGATAAAATATATATCAATCGGCTCGCCGGCTGACGCCGGCGCGCCTCCTTCCGTGATACGGCCCGGCTTCGCCGCGCTTACCTCCTTCACTGGATGCTCAACAATTATCCGGCTTTTACTTCACCTGTACACATAGTCAACGCTCCTTGAGCAATAACATCATACCTACTATTTTCGACACTATTACCGTCTATGAATGGTGGTAAGCAGCGTTGATCAAATGCGCAGATGAGAGAGAAACCGGGTATTAGTTGAGCATTCAAACATATGCAAGCAGGTGGGCGACGAAGTAAGCAAAACCGGCAAAGCCTTTAGAAAAGGAGTCGCGCCGGCGTCAGCCAGCGAACCGACTGGTATCAAATGTACGTGTGACAACAGGTGTTCAAAAGTGTGGCGGCCTATGCACTAAAACGCAGTGAAAGTAGGGACCCCGTGCTTGAGAACACGCTCCACCCACTGTGGGCGGGTCTCAACACACCACAGACATGCTGAACTCTCGCCATATGTTTCTCTTCACCAAAAGTTTTTCCTGATCTCCAAGCTCACTCAGATGCGAACCACGAAATTTTTCAGCAAGAGCCTGCCCATCTCGAAAGCAGCCCGCCCATTTTTGAGATGTCTCCTCCACTTCGTCCGCTGACCCCTTGTGGACCTCAATCCACCTGTCCCCGGTGCCTATGCTGCTCTGCAACTAATTCGTGAATTTTTGACCTTCGCCCGCCCACAACATCGACACAGCTCCGCACAGAATGGCGCGTAAATCTCGCTTCAATAGCGGAGCTCCTGCACATTTTTACCATTCTATATTTCTGCGTTTGGCTCCGCCGCCTAGCCGCACGCTCCGCCTACAACGGCTGTGTGCCGCATCAAACAGTGATCCCTCCTGACCATCCACTTCCGTGTTTTACAGAACTTTTGTCTGTCTCCGCCCACCTCGGACTGGCACCGCCCACAACATGTGTGCCCCACATTTCTCAATCGGCGACCCTTTGCTGACCTTAATCCACTTTTTTCCGGTCCCTGGAGTGCTCTGGAACCAAGCTACAAATTTTTGAATGTGCACCCTATGAATGAGAGCAAGCTCCGCCCACTGTGGGCGGGTCTCAACACACCTCAGGCATGCCGAACTCTCCCCAGGTGTTGCCCTCCTACACCGACTTTTTTGCGATTTCTAAACTCTCTCGGGAACCGAGTTAATGAATTTCTCGGGAAGCACCGCCTATCTCAAGGACGCCCCGCCCATTTCGGGTATGTCTCCCCTAATTGGTTCGACAACCCCTTGCTAACCTTATTCCACTTTTTCCCCCATCTCTGGGCTGCTCTGGAAGCGAGTTATGAGTTTTTTCTGCGGCTCCGCCAACTTTCGGCGCATACCCTACCCCGAATTAGAACCGAATTTCCGGACTGACAAACAAACAAACAAACAAATAAATAAACAAACAAGCAGACGAAGCAAGTTATATATAGTGGGTGATACGCCGACCAATTTTCTACGAGACCAACTAAAGGAGATTATGCGGACATATCAAAAGTTTGGCTGAAGTACACGATATGCGGGAGGAAATATCAAATATACTTCCGAAACCACGGACAGTTTGACAACACCGATAATTTTTGATTGCTTCAGTCAGAGGTGAAGATACATTCCTAAGGATAGGTATACAATTCGCTATATGGTCGAGCAGTTTCTGGTTTGTTGCTTAGTATGGAAATCTGCACTAACTCCTGAGAGAAGTTAAAAATAACTCCTAAGAGAAGTTAAAATGGAAATGTTATACGAACACATATGTAGTCCTCTTCATTGCAGACCGGTGGGGCGGGTGAGCCGCGCTGCGCGTGACGCGGCTGTGACGCGACTGTCATGACAGTCCCGCGTCACGCGCAGCGCGGCTCAACCGCCCCACTCTGCAATGAAGGGGAGTGTATATCACTTTTATACCTGGAAAAAAGAAGCAGGAATCGTAGATATTCCCACACATGAAAGCATTTATTGCTAACTCTCATCTAGTCAGCATCTGCTGATGACATATCAGTGTACTTTTGCTCCAGTTGATCTTAAACCCATTCTAATCTCAAACCCGACCTAAAATATCCATTCCCTGTAGCAAGTAGGATCGATTGCTAGCTTGTCAGACATATGTAATACTGAACCCTAAAAAGGCGGAAAAACTGTCTTGAAGGAGTTGAGTTCAAGTTCCCCGTAGACCGCCCCGCAAGTTCAAGTTAGCAGTCCTGCAACGAAGCTAAGTGCTGTAGTTTTACGAAAAATTCCTACACACAGTGGCTCATGAGGGCAGAAGGTTTGTTCGGCTTAAGCGAGAGCCGATTGGGAATCGATCCCCGGACCGGGCGCGTGGTGAGCGTGCTAGTTATCACTACACCACCTCCTCATAAAGTATGACAAATATGGCAAATGAAACCAATAAATGAATACAAAGTGACTACAAATGCTCAACTTAGTGCGGACGACTTCAAAGCATGTGCAGGGCCAGGTGTTGCCTGTGTAGACTGAGCCAGAACTACAGCTTTCAGAATACGGCAGACAGGTTTCTTCTGAAAATGAACGTTAACGAGAAAGGCTTGCACCGACATTTCTGAGCTACACTGTTACCCTTGCACTAACCGTGACAGCACGGAGCATTGCTTCAACAAGCCCTAGGGCAAGAGGAGAGCACCTGAATTCAAAAAGTATATTGGAAACTTCAGAACGGATTAATCCGAGCGAAGTAAGCAGGCAAGACAACTTTTATACTTGGTGGAAGGGACGAAGATACAAGAGCTTAACGTCTACGTAAACACTAAGAGCACCATGCGGTCGCGTCGCGGTTTTCGAGTTCGAGCGTTGTTCCCAGTAGGTGGAGACGCGCCATGACTCGTTATGCTTTAATTACGTGTTCGTGTATCTGGTTTGCAAAAAGAACTGTCGCGTTTTCTTTACAGAGATTAATAAATGTGATCCGGAGAAGAAGTACGTACACACATGGGAATCTTGTGATGCACTTTGAGAAATACCAGTTTAGAATTAGCGTGGCATTATCATATTGCTTTCAAGTGTTTTGAGTTAACGGAGCCCGTCCACCCTTATAGACAATTCTCGCGATCAAGTTAACAGGGTAGCAGGTGCTCAGCCATTAAGCAGTAGGCCATCAAAAACTCATTAGCAGAGAAACAAACGAAAAAAGTTTCGGGAACAGCTTGACGCAGCAGACGCCCTCTCCGCTAGGAAGTAGGGCCAGCGCCTTGGACGAGTACATCATGAAGACAAACCCAATCAGCAAGATCCGAGGTGCAGCCGATTCCCGGCAAGATCGAAGAACTTAGGCATTGTTCACACTCTGCGGTCCAGCGTTTCTCTGAAACGCGGCGGTTCGGCGAAAAGCTTTCGATACATATCGACTGGCGGTTGGGCGAAGAGCCTGGCGGTTGGGCGAAAGGGTTTTGGTACGTATCGACGGGCGTTTCGCCAAACCGCGACGTTTTTCGCCTTCGACAAAACGCTAGCTCCATCGCGGTGGCGTTTTTCGCCAGCGAAATCGATACACATCTACTGCTTTTCGCCCAACCGCCCAACCGCGGCGGTTGGGCGGTTGGACGGTTGGGCGATTCTCCGATCGATGACTATTTATTGCTTTTCGTCAGGGCCTGGCGACTGTGAACAATGTCTTAAATGCCATACGGACATTTGTGAACAGCGAGCGAGCGGTCGCGTCGCGGTCATTGCATGGGTCGCGTTGAATCTGGCGGGAGAGGAGGAGATTCTACATGAAAATTGGAAGTTGAAACATGCAGTGTTTGATATATTGGAAGGTGAATGAGTAGTTTCACATATGTTCCTTCCCGTTCGCAGACCGTTCATGGAGTCACTTGGATAAGAGAACACAATCATAGACACACTCACGTAGCTATTCAATAAGAAGCGTACATGGACAGGGTACAACATTGCGATGTGTGGAAATGGTGGTGTTAGTACGCCCCCCCCCGGAAACGATGTCCCAGTAGCGACCCCGCCCCTCTTCTTCTTCCACCCTAACTGTGGACTAACTAGAAGGATAGGTAGCGTTTCGATTTGTTCGCTCGGCCGGGAAGTACTGGAACATCGCCGCCGCCGCGTAAGAGGCAGGTTTTCGCTTAAGACACATGGTAGCGCAAACAACATTTGAGGGTGTATGAGACTATGAGCCCCCAGCTGTCGATGTGTCGTGGTCCCCCCGCCCAAAACTGCACGGGGTCAGAGTACGGGCCGTGGGAAAGTCGTAACTCCTTGCTACGCCGCCCATTTCGTAAGCTCACAGTGATTATACTTGCGCAA